GTACAGCAGGGGATATTAGAGGGGCTGGCAAAATCCCTCGGCTTTTTTCTGACTATGCATCCCACAGCCCAGTACTGCAAATCCTTTCAAATGAAGCAACTGACTTTCCAAATCTGCATCTGGTCACATAATTTCACATCCTCCAGTCACCCGAGTGATGCTTTAGAGCTCCCAGTGTGTACCCCACACCTTTTGATCCACATCCTTCACTCATGTGCCTTTAACAGAGAAGCTCTCCTCAACTTGGCCAAATCCTGGCCACACCATGTGGGTGTCCTTGACCCAGCCACACATACCCACTCCTCCTGCAGATTCACTGCTTTCTCTTAATTGCTCCATTGGCATTGCTAGCTTCTTCCTTATATCCTAGTCATTTGATTTGTACTTTTTTCTCTTAAGCTATTAGAAAGTCCAACATTTGGTCCAATATTTTTGGTGGACCAAATACACAGATGAAACTATCTGAAAATACTACAAAGAAAAGGATGACAGATCAGTAACCGAGGTCATGGAGAATGTTCTTTTCTTCCAGATGTAAAACTGTATAGAAATTAACAATACCATAGGAGATCACACCAAATATTAGACAAATTAATTCTCAAAGGAGACTTGTAGCAGGCCTGCCAGTGGCACTAGCAGTTGTGAAAGGAAAAGAGGAAGAAATGGATGAAATAACTTCATAAGGAAGTCTGCTTGGAGAACCTCAGAGGGCTGCTGTGAAGTGTGGGCTCCATCTGGCTGTCCCGCTATATCTGCCTCACTCCCTGTTAGAGGCACGGATTCCTGTGCTGCTGGTTTCCCATGCGGGGCCTGAGCCATTTGTAAGAATCCTCAGCTTCCTTCTTTCAGCCCCTGCCCCTTCCTTCTCCCACACAGTGACACTAGAGCTCCTTGGAAGACCGCTTTCTAATCGTCTCCAACTGGGCCGTTTCACGGGACGAGGATGGACCAGAACAGATGTGGGAAATGTTTCCTATCATGAAATAAGCAAGATGCCAAAGAGGAGTGTGTGCGGTGTTACTTTCTCACGCCGCATGGCTTGTAAAGTAATGTGAGAATGTGACGTGGTGGGAGCCAAGTCCAGCTTTGAGTGTCTTTATTGCAATGATTCCTTTCAAACCAGAACCTCCTGAGATTCTGTACGTCAAAGAGATGTTTTAAAAAAAGCATGCTGTGGAGTGAAATGAAGAGAAAACTGTTCTAAGAATGTCTGCTTTGGGGGTAGATCATCCAACCACAGAGCAAAATAATTAGGCTTTTATTCTTATCTGACAAATGTAGACGGCTTTTAATGTAGCACAGTGTTTCCATTGAGAAATGTTATAATATCTACATGCAGCACTAGCTTCTATTATCCTAAGATTCACATTGAAGAGGTCTGAAGTAGGCTTAGGTTCTTCGAAGGCTCTATCTAGGATTACCGAGAGGATAACACTTGAGAAGAAAGAAATAATGGTATCTGTGAAAATAATCAATGTTTTGAAACCATTTTTCACCCTCTAACATCTGTCACTTTCCCCTTTACTTAATTACAAGTTGCTTTGAAAATTATTATGTGCATGAACTGCTTTAACAACTGAAATTATACATGTTCAGAAATTCCACTCTGATGAGATAAAATGTGAAATGCAAATCTTATGTAAAACACTAATTAAAACATATTGTTGATGTAATTAAACACTTAGATTACTTTTCCAAAAGGAAGAACTGCCTGCCCTGAGCCAAACCAAAAGACAAGTTGAAAGTCCTCTGGCTGCACCTGCACACATGAGAACTAATTCTATAGCATGCCCCTCCATGCTACATGGAGCTTGGTATTAAATATATTGAGAAAAACAGCATCACCAATAAAAACAGGCATTGAACGAACTGACACACAGATAGTTCCGTTCAAGTTCCTTAAGTGAGGACCCTGTCTGAAGGTCTAAGCAGGCACTGTGGTCCCCTTAGTCACCCTGCTCTCCACATCGCCCAGCAGGGGCTAGAAGCTTAATCTGAATATTTATTAAACAATGATGGAGTCAAATGGGTCAAAAATCAAGATGCTCATATCCTGGTTCTGTCAGTGTGAGCTCAGGCAGACATCTTTTCAGAATGTGGCTTATGCAGGCTTTGCAAGCCCGAGTGAACTGAAGGCAGGCTACACCACAAGAAGCGCAATCAGCTAAGTAAATGACAAAGCCTTTCTTAAAGGGATATCTCACGAGGTTTTGTTTGCTTGCATATTACCTGGGTTTTAGAGAGGGTTCTAGAACTGATGCAATGCTGGCTTCTTTAACATGGAACCTGAAATGGGTCAGACCCCTGCTTCTCTCTACCTTCTCTGCAAGCTGGCTGAGCAGCGTTACTATCAGTGTACAGCCACAGGTCTCCGATTGGGAGGCTGAGTGGCAGGATGTTCTCAAGCAGCCATGGTTCAAGCTGCTATAATGCATGAAAAGGACTCCTGGAAACCCAGCTTCAGCCTGTGCAGTGAGGTGCTGGACTGACACAGGATCTTTAAAAATTGGATGGGAGATGGAAGAGTCGCAAGATGCAAATCAATGCAAGAGCTCAATCTTGATGCTGCAAACTCCCCTTTGCCCCTGACAGGAAGCACTTGTCTTCCAGTGAGAGGGACAGCATCTTAGCACATCATGTAAAAGCCAATTTGGCTGGATAAACAGATTGCTTTTTTAAAAATTAAGAGAGCCTTCTCTTTAATTACAGTGGCAAGTGCCCAGTGCAACTAGCAGCAGACAAGTTGAGCTACAGAAATTGACCACAATAAATGCCCAATTTAGCAGGAACATCAGATCGACTAGATGACTTGAGGAGTGTTCTCTATGGATCGATAATCCATGATTAGCCCAAGAGTGTCTTCGGGGCTACAATCAAAGACGGAAGATGCATTTGGAAACAGAAAATGTTTTGACTGTGTTTGGAGGAACATCTACTAATGCTTTACATTCAGGAAGGCATATTTAATTATTTTGTAGCAGTTAAAAATCTGGCATAATTTAAAACAGAGACCTGGGGTTCCCTCTTTTGAATAATGACAACGGGATATTTGTTATGCCTTTTAAAAAAATCAATTTGTTCTGTGTATACTATATATCAATGTAGACATACAAAAGATTTTAAAACACATGGCCATTGAGTAGAAGAATACTGTTTCTGTGTTTATCTAAGTACATTTAGGTATTTTAGTGCCAAGGATAGGAAAAGCTTTATCAGGGAGATTATTGGTGAATTGTAAAGGGAAAAGTCTCTTTTATAGCAGAGAACCTCTACTCATGACAGCTTCTCCTTCCAATTAACTTTGCAATGACTGTGTTTGAATTATTATAGGCAGAAACAAGCCTGATTATTTTTGTGAAGCCACAGAAATCTGTGCAAAACTCTATAATCTGTCTTAAAACTCTATAAATGAAACATTTCTGTGAAATCCTCCAGACGTCCATATCAATTGCAATTTCCGATATTGTAAATAATTTACATGTTCTAGAGACAGACTTTTGATGGATTAATTCCTATAATCCATCATTTTCTTCTCCCCTTCTGCATCATGCATCATTCTTTAAACTTTATCACCCAATTTTCAGGGCTAAATTTCTGAAAATTTACACTTTTGTGGCCACCTGCTATACCACGTGATTTTGTGAACTGATATTAAGTCTTTCAAAATATAATACTCCAGCTTCTTTCAACAAAATGTGACATTTTGACTCGGACCATCTTTCATAACTGCAAGCTCTTCGCTGAGACATAACAGAAAGAAAGCAAGTTTTGCGTTCCCACACTTATGAAGGTGCAATATCAAGGCTCAGTGAGGGAGGCTGATCCGTTCCCTCGCAAAAGAACTTGGGAATACAAGTGCACGCATTTTACAAGCACAGTGCAGGGGAAAAGTTCAGACTGTGACCTTCATGAAAATTAAGGTCCTTTGTTGAACTTTCCTGGTAATAGATCACATAAAAATTTGAGATCGAATCCAATAGGCACAACAATTAAGAAAGAGCATGCCTTTGATTATCAGTGGTGAAGTGCCATTTGAGAGACAGCTTTCATAGGCGGTAAGGAAAGGAGAAAGCAGACACCTCAAGAAGTAACCCATGCAAGGAGCCTGGGCAAGAGACCAACACCAGGGGAAGGGGAATGAGATGCAAGCTCAGAAGCCTCTATGGCCCACTCACCCTGACAAATGGCACAGGAGGGGCAGCAATGCGCCTTGGGGGAGGTACTTTGATTTGAGAGTTTAAAGTGTTAAAACAAATAAGACTTTTGAAGGCAGAAGAAAGACAAAATGACTAGTTGTCTTTTACTCTCTCTGAATTGGCGCCTTTGTGCTCTGAAATGATCCCTGAAAGTCTCTCAGTCCTCAATGTCTCGGGTTTCCCTGCATTCTATGTCTCACTGTGGCTCATAGAGACCTTATCCCATGTCCCTAAACCAGATATATGGACCAAAATTAAGTAGGCCAGAGTTTCTATCATAGCTTAGAAACGGGAACTGAAAATTAATAAATATGAGAATATTTAATGCAAAAAGCTGAGTTTCCAGTATTTCCGGCAAACATTCTCATTAACCAGAGAAACCTGTCTGATTCACAGCAACTAGTGTGTGCAGAGCACCTACTGTCTGGACATGCCATGTGTACAGAGCATTCAGTGTTTATATTCAATGTTTATGTAACAGATAGTCTAACATTTGCAGACTAGTGAGTATGAGCATCCGACACCTGCAGGGAATCCAATGTGTACCAAGTGTCCACTGTCTAGTCATGTCATGTTTGCAGAGCCCTTAGTACCCACAGAGCATGCAGTGTGTACAGATCACCTAGTTTTTGCAGAATATCTGTTTACACACGTGTTTATAGAGCCTCTAGTTTTGCAGGACACTGAGTGCTTGCCTTGTATCTTGCATGTTCAGCGAACTCGGGCAGGAAAACATCTGGTGTGTGCTCACTCCGCTCTCCCAGGTCCAGGCTGAGGGGTGGGGATGAGGAGGACTCTACTCACCACGTTGCAGCCGGCACAGTCGGGTCCATTCTCACAAGTCCTGCGGCGAGCCTGGATGCCACCCCCGCACTGGGCTGTGCACCGCTCCCACGGACCCCAGCCAGTCCAGAACACATGCGGGGGGCACAGCAGGTGCTCATTGCAGTATCTGTCAAGGAGAAACCGAGAGGAAAAGGAAACTGCTTAAGAGTGCAACGCAAGGCCCCAGGCCTTCCAGGCTCTGTCCCTGCACCAGATGTTGGGCACATGGGCATGCTCAGCGTGGAGGGGTTTTGTGTCTGAAGTGATTGCTCAGTGAAGGAGGCGGATGCGGCGCTGGCCATGCTGTGTGCGGCACGGACAATGGGATGCACGGGACACAATGAAGAAAATGCTAAACTCACAATGCAGAATGGATCTTCCTGTGCAGCCAATTAAAGAGAAACAAACAAAACAAAACCCTTCAAATAGACACCCAAAAAATGAGAACACGCAGAAAATACCTAGGTAGGTCATTTATCTTCTAAACATACACATTGAAAGATAAAGCAGGTTATGACTACAAAGTCAGCAAAAGTGTATTTGGATTTCATTTCTCATCCCTGAATCCAATAAGGCTCATAGTCCTGCTAATGTAATAAGTTAAAGAAAGGTTAAAGCAGATTTTAGCATAAAGCTTCATGTCATATACTGCTTAGGTTACTGCATTTTTTAATTTATTTTCAGACTCCCAGAATCATGTCCAACCCCAATTTAAAAGACAACTGGCTATCTAAAAAGAACTTCGTTACTACTTGCAAACACTAGTCTTACTTTTATGGTTGAATATACTTCTATATATACATACATGTTGCCAATTTTTAGCCAAATATACAAGGGCTTCTTAAGCTGTATATGAGTCAAATCTCTCCTCATTCTTTGACAGTACAAGTGAAATGAAGTGATGTGAGGGAAACAAACAGACAAACAAAACCCAAGAAACAGCCGGGCATTCTACACGTTACAACTCATGGGGAGGAAGATGCTACTCTTAACACAGCCAAAGTTAGTGAGACACAGCTGGCCATTTAAACGACTATTTAAACCAAGAGCCCATCCACTATGCACAAATATGGCTTCTAGAGAAAACTAGGATGCAAGATGTTTCTGTCCTCTCCCCTCCCCCCCCACCTATGTCACCACCTTTAGAAACAGGAGGCAGAGGGTCCTATTTGTGAGGCTAAGTCCACTACCTTTAATGTCATCATGGTTAATACTAGTAAACACCTAATCTTGCAGGGCACTGTACAAAGGCCATTACAGAGAGTGCTTCCTTGTCATACATGTTTATAGCCTGAGATGAAGGCCGGGAGATAGACACAGCCCAGGATGCTCAGGACACACAGCCCTATCTCAATGCAAGAAAAACAGGAGCAAATGACAGCTGGTTTCCAGAAACCAGGGAAAGTGACTTAGGGAGTATAATTTCCTGGTAGCAAATACTGGGAAGATTCAACAGTTTCATCATCAAACCAAGAAAACGCTACAGAGAATATGAAGGCTTGGGGGAACAGGTAGTGACAAAAGATTAAAAAAAAAAAATAGGCCAAGCTGAAGGGAGTCAATGAGGTGAGGCACAGGGAGCATTGACTGGCATTCTAGAAAACAATGGAAAGTAGAAATGGGAAGAGTGAAGTGAGATCACTAAGAACAGAAAAAGATGGCAGAAAGTTGAACTTTATAAGGAACTAAGAGAACTCCAGAGACCAAATAGTACCATCCGAGATAGAGTGGACAGTGGTCGCCAGGGTTCGGTGGCTCATCCCCCTGGAACCCCCAAATTTGAGGAGTGCTCCACACTTGAGGGTGGGATCTGGTCTACAAAAGACAGAAGAGGTGAGGCCACCTGCAAGAAGAGCTAATGGAGCAAGTACCAGCCAGGAGAATTGAGATTGCAACAAGTGAAGAGAGAGATAGTCCAAGCCCAACAAACATGATGGTGGTGGAAGGAGTAGAGGAAGGGATACACATGGGATGTGGTGTAGCAGGAATAAGGTACTGCAACTGTGTGAATGTACAGTAAAAACAACACATGGTAGAATCAAAAGTCAGCCTCTCAAGTGAAAATGGGAGGAACGCTTACTTCCCAGGAGAGAGTTGACAGGACCTGGCAGAAAAAGCCTCCAGAATGCAGAACCAATCACACTAATGGTTCTCTAAATGTTCATATAAAAGAGTAGCCAATGGGCCCTGTGGCTGAGTTGATTGGGCATCCTCCTATACACCAGAAGGTTGCTGGCTTGCCTAGTCAGGGGCACATACCCAGGTTGCAGGCTCAATGTAGAGAGAGGACTACAATGCATGATGTTTCTGTCTTTCTCTGCAACCATCCCATCTCCCTTTAGAAACGGGAGGCAGAGGATACTACTTGTGAGGCTAAGTCAGTTAGCTTCTTACCCAGAGAGAGTCTGCTCTAAGGCAAAGCAGGAGACAATTGATCAATGCTGTGCTCTCATGTTGACTTCTCCCCCACGCCCCCTCTAAAAATCAATAAAATAGTCTTTAAAAAAGTAAAAGAATAGTCAATGGAATGAAAAGTCATCACTCTTCATCCTTTCCACTTTTGAGGCAAGAGGAAACATTAGGTTTCCTTCTTAAGAAGTCACATACAGTCTCCCAGGGCCCTGGCTCTCAGGTCAGGTCATAGAAGAGAAGACCTCCTAATTAAGAGACCTCTAGATAAAAGAGCCGAAACGAAATTGAGGATATAATAGATTAAAGAAATGTGACTGTAGGAAGCACGTGCAAATGTGTAGAGTTACAATATGTAAAGGATCCTGACTGCTCAAAGATTACTAACATATGTGTTAGTGCAATAACTGTTCCAAGAGGAAATTGCCATTTATTTTAAGAACATATTTGGAAGCAGTAAGTCAAGAAAACTCAGAACATCAGAACTCTCAGCATGCAATTCAAAATTTCCGTGTGCAGCTTCTCTCACTGTGGGAATAACGAGAAGTAGAAAACCACCTCCTGTTTCCAAGTGGATCCACTGACATTTAAAAAGGATGGGCATTCTAGAGGCCTCGGCCCTAATTTCAGCTTTCAAAAACATAAACAAACAAGAAAAGGGTAGGCAGAGCAAAGGAAATAAGAGACCTTTGACTTTTAATAAGAAGTACAAAAGGGAGCTACCATTTCCCCATAGCAAAATAAATCACAGTGCATAAAAGCTTCCTCACGTTTGCCTGTTGCAGGCCACCTTTAAAGGCACCCGGGCTGTGGTTAGAGGTAAAAATCTATTTCAGGAGAGCCTGAAAAATGCATGGAGCACAGAACTGTCAACCAGTGGTAATCAATTGCATATCTGGCTGCATGTGAAGGCTGGCCACAGCCTTCCCTCTTCTTTGTCTTCCTCCTCCACAGGGATCCCGAGGAAAAAGCTCCCCCTGGTTTTATGAACATGTCACCCTCTGCAAGGGAGGTCAATAAGGAAAGCAGACATTTGTAGGTTCTTCGGTCCGTCTATGGGTTTTTATTCACAAATCCACCCAGAGAAGCAAAGCCCTTGTAAACCCCTAACTCTGACACTGAAATTTTAAGAAGGAAGTGCCCCTCTGGTCCCCAGGCTCTCTTACCCCGAGTAATACATTCTCCCAAGATAGTGGTAGGCGAACTGCGGCTCTCGAGCCACATGCGGCTCTTTGGCCCCTTGAGGTTTTAGCAAAGGCCAGCTTAGGAAGACCTTAATTAAGGTAATGACAATGTACCTACCTATATAGTTTAAGTTTAAAAAATTTGGCTCTCAAAAGAAATTTCAATTGTTGTATTGTTGATATTTGGCTCTGTTGACTAATGACTTTGCTGGCCACTGTCCTAAGAGATGCATCTCTCAATAAACTACTCTTTCCTGGTCACAAACGAAAATGCAAACTAAAGGTTGGCTACCTTGGAAACTCTGCTTGTTCAAGGATTCTTATTGATTTATGGATCAGGTAGCTATATGATGGGCCAGCTGTTGGATCCTTGTGGCTCTAGTCCTCTCGTGTGGCTGCCTTTACCAAATAACAAGCTACACATTTCTGAACTGTTAAGGCTCTCTTGGATCTCTAGTATCTTAAATCATCAACAGTCACAGATGCATTTCATGATGCATTAAAAATTAAGATTCTAATTTTGCCCATGACTGCTTATTCTCATTTTGCATTTAAAAGTTAATTAATGACCCAGCAACATTTCTTCATAAATTATCTATTTTCCCACAAACCTCGTCTCTGTGAAAAGAAATGCTTTTCATAAACCCATATAGACTAGATTCTCACCACTGTATCATGTTTCATTGTGTTATAAATTATGTTCTGTTATGGTTAGGGCCGTGATAGCTTCTCCCTGCAACCTGTGTTAGGCTGAACCAATCACAGCCCTGTCAGAACTGTTTTCCTTAGTTCTCTCTAAGTGATCGACCCTTCGCTGGCCATACTGAAATAATGGAATCTTTTGTGGCACCACAGAATCTGTATGTACACTGTGTCCACCATAGTATTAATTTTTATCCTAAGAGAAAGCTAAGTTAACTCATTAGAGGAGATACTGACTTTAAAAGAGCTCACTAAGGATTAAGTAAACACACTCATGAAGAAGAAAAATCATATAATAACCACCCATTCATTCCTTTCACTTAACACTAACCCGGTGCCCATGATCCTCACCTCCTGGAATCCACACCGGTATAATCCCCTCCTATTCAGTGCTGGGGGAACCTGTGACTTGCTCCTAACAAATAGACTGAGGCAAAAGTGACAGGCTATCACTTCCATGCTTATGTTACATAAGATAGTGATTGTAATGCCCCTATTTCAGGAAAATGCTCCTGTGCTGGCTTTGAGGAAGCAAGCAGTCAGGTTGGAAAGGCGCAGGTGGCAGGGAACAGAGGGCAGCTTCTGGCCAATAGCTTCAGTCCAACAGCACACAAGAAACCGCATGCTGCCAGTGACAGGGGGATTTGGGAGGCGGCTCTTCTGCAGTTGCACTTCAGATGAGAACACAGCCCTGGTCTCCTCCTTGGTGGCAGCCTTGGGGGTTCCTAAAGCAAAGGATGCAGGTATATTGTGTTCACTCTACAAACCCCCAGAAACTGTGCACCAATAACCATGTTAAGGCAGCTGAGTTTGTGGTAATATTATTATGTAATAATTAGTAAAACAGATTTTAGTACTTATATATGCGGTACTACTATATGAAATTCCTAAAAATGTGAAAGTGGCTTTGGGACCAGGGAATTGGATAGAAGCAAATAGAAATTTGAGTAGCATGGTAGAGAAAACCTAAATTACCTTGAACAACCTATTAGTATAAATCTAGATTTTGTGAATGCTGCCAGTGAGAATTTAAAAGGCTAAAGAATAAAGAACTAAAACTCAACAACAAAATCAACCCAACCAGAAAATGAGCTAAGGACTTGAATAGACATTTCCAAAAAAGATATACAGATGGTCAATGTACAGATGCTCAACATCATTAGTCCTTAGGGAAATACAAATCAAAACCATAATGAGAAACCACTTTATAGCTACTGGGATGGCTATAAAATAAAATAAAAAGTAAAGTAAAAAGGATTGTTGGTGAGAATGTGAAAAAAAACAGCAACAACAACAACTGTTTCCCTTATATATTGCTGGTAGGAATGTAAAATGGTGCAACCATTGTGGAAAATATTTTGCAGTTCCTCAAAAACCTAAACATAGAATTAACATAAGATCCAGCAATTCTACTTTAAGATAAATCCACATAAGAAATGAAGCAAGAATGAACAGACATTCATATGCCAGAGTTTACTGCAATGTTATTTACAATAAACAAAGTGTGGAAATATCCCAAATGTCAACTAATGGGTAAATAGATAAATACAATATGGGATAGCCATACAGTCAAATGTTATTCAGCCATGAAAAAGGAAATATGCTTCTGACACATGCTACAACATAGATGAACCTTGAAAACATTATGCTCAATGAAATAAGCCAAATAGAAGAGGGCAGACATCACCTGATTTTATATGAAATATCTAGTCTAGGCAAATGCATATAGAAAGAGAGAGTATAGATTAGAGGATACAAGGAATTGCAAAAAAGGAGAAAAAGAGAGTTATTACTTAATAGTTTCAGAATTTCTGATTGGGACGATGAAAAAGTTTTAGAAATAGAAGGTGAGAAGGATAGCACAATATTCTCAATGCAATTTATGCCACTGAATTGTACACTTAAAAAATTGTTAAGTGGCAAATTTTATGTTATACATGACAACAAAAGTTAAAAAGGAAATAAGAGCATATTCCTAGAATATGGAAAAAGAGCAGAAAGCTTCCAAAATTGCTGCTGAAGTTATGAAAGCAAAACATGTAAGTGTCAAGTAGTTATGTAGTTGAGAAAATTCCCAGAAAAAGTAATGGAGGTACTTCCTTGATTCTTCTTCCTGCTTATTGTTAAATGTGCGATAAAAGAAAGAAATTGAGGAAAGGAATATTAAACAGAAGGAACCAGGGCTGAATAGTTTGGCAATTCTGAAACTCTCCACAGGGCAAAAGATGCTAAAATCAAGAAAAAGCTTCTGAGCATGCTGGAAATTGCTGACAAAGTAAAAGGCTGAGGATGTGACTATACAACCTTTTGTTAAAATCTCAGAAAGATCAAATAATCTGAGTAGTATTCAGTCACACAAAGGGTCCTTTCAAGAGGTCAAGAGCAAGGACTTGTTGTCCTTGGGAATCCTGCCATCTTGGCAGGATTCCCAGGTAGAGCAGGGCTATCTCACAAACATTTGTGGGTTTAGATTTATTTAGTGAAGTCAATGCCAAGGAAGACCAGGGAAGATCCACAGAGTTTATTTCAGCAAAGTACCAGCTTGGATTGTAAGGGACATGGGAAGTACAAATCTAATGAGGCTCTAGAAAACCCAAAATTCTCCTGGAAGAAAGCAGGCCGTTGAGAGCACCCAGAAGCAAGCATATGCTACCTTTTAAAGGAAAGAAGATTCAGGAAGTGGAACTGAGAGCTCAGAAGGCAGAGCCTTTAACCAAATGTTCATTTAGCCCAAATGAGCAATTCTTCCTTAAAAAAAAAAAAAATTCAAATGCAAGTCCTCCAAACACTAGCCATTCTGATCTTTTCCTAAAAACAAAGCTTTAAGAACAATCGTAAATGGGTACTGAACATATTATACATATATGTTTACCAGAGCTAAACAGCTTAATGCTTCCTGGGTGCTCAGCCCGGGAAAGGTGACCACAGGTGGGGATGTGTGGAGGTGCCGGGATTCTAACAGCAGCTTCAAACAGGTGAAGGTGGCTTTGCCTGAGTGGGCTGTGTTCTATGACAATATATAGCATTTTAAAAAGGAACTTATTGGGATGACATTGGTTCACATAACCATACAGGTTTCAAGTGTACAACTCAATAAAACATCATCTGAACACTGTATCATTTACCCATTGCCCCAAGCAAAGTCTTTCCATCCCATAATTTCCCCCTTTGCCCACCTCCACTCACCCTCCAACCACCTTTTCCCTCTTGCTGTCACCATACTGTTGTCTGTGTCTATGTGGTGTGTGTGTGTGTGTGTGTGTGTGTGTGTGTGTGTGTGTGTCTTTTGCTTAATCCCTTCATCTTCTTTCATCCAGACCCCAACCACCCTTCCCTCTGACAGCTGTCATTCTATTCCAGGTATTCATACCTCTGTTTCTATTTTTGTTTGTCAGGATATTTTTTTTCCATTAGATTCCACATACATGTGAGATCATATGGTATTTGTCTTTCTCTGACTGTCTTACTACCAACCAAAGTTAAATCTTACAAGGCTTAGAAATAGCAGGAAGACTGCTCTCCCATAATCAGCTTTCTCACCAACTAATGTTAGCTCAGAAATGATATACTTTCCCAAGACTATCTTGGGGCAACTACTTAAAAAATGACCACCCTGCACTGCAAAAATCAGCTTTCATGTTCCTCTGAGTTGAAAGGAATAAAATCTTAATTGGTAATTTAGGAACATGGTGAAGAAAGAAAAAATGATTTTGTCTGGTTGTTTTGAGATTGTAATAAATACATAGGAGAGTATTATCTGTAGGTAAGACTTTGTGTAAGTATAATATATAAATATTACATTGTCTATATAAATATTTACCATATAACAAATGACTGCACATGGTATTTTATGAGGCTCCCAGTGAATCCGTATCATGAGATCCAAGCCTTACTACATTTAATTAAAAGGTATTGAAAGTCATTTTCTTTCACATGGGACTAATACAATAAGTTTATGGGAGTGTGGCAGAATAAGAACCCAGAAAGTGATGTGAGAATTATCTACTTGGATATTCTCCAACGACCATAAATGGAAATGTACTTTAAATATTCAAGAGAGAGTGAAATACCACAACTGTAGATTTTATGAGGCCAGAATCAAATGTCTGATTCTATAAAAACCAACAAACTGTTAAATGCAAGACTGAACTGAAATGTCCTTAGGACATGCTGAAAGCTTAAAATACACACGGGAAAGACTGTCCCACCTTGGGTCCTACCGTAGCTGCACCGAGGGTATCTGTTAATAGAAGAGTGTGTACTAGTTACAGATATAACCAAAACCTTGACTAGGTTCCCACCTATGCTCCAGGAATTTAGTGTAGTTTTGATGGAGAACTTCACTTCATCTGGTCAGCACATCTGGACCCAGGACCACTCCTACACGGAACTGTAAGTTTTGAGACTGGGGCAGCTAGATTCCAACAAACACAAGCTTTCTCCAGCAAACTCACTTGCTGAGCTCCCCTGGAAACCCAGCACAGACAGGGGCAGGGTGCCCACTGTCCCTGGAGCTCCAGTCCGTTGGGAATTGCTCAGTTAAGAGGACCTCACAGGGACCACAGCAGCCCAGGAAAGCTGTCAACACGAGGCTTTGGTCAAAGTTTAAGGATGTCAGGAAAAGAGGGCAGTTCAACTCAACAGAAAGGGTTGCCACAGATAAGCTAAGTTGGATCCAAAAATAAAACCACAGGGAACCGACCGCACTGGAATGACAGAAAGTGGGAGGACGGTGATGCTGGGCAGAGCGGTACGTACCTTTCCTCCCGGTTCTGTCCCACGCACACCCTGCCCCCGTGCCGGGGCGTGGGGTTGCTGCAGGACCGCTGGCGCACCTGGAAGCCAATCCCACAGGTGGTGCTGCAGGGAGACCAGGAGGTCCAGGGGGTCCAGCCTCCATTCCTGGGGGAGGAAGCAATGCAGTCACTGAGTCACACTGGCTCAGAGTCTATCCCCGGTCTGCACCCACCTCCCAATACAGGGACTTCCTTCCCCACGTGGACCACCGATAACGGGTGTGAAGAGAAAGGGAACTAGGACCATGCATCCTGGGGATCTGTTACTGTGAGATTTTTCTCCATGGTATCTGATGTCTGAGTCCAGGTAGGAAATTTAAGAGTGACATTTTAAGTGCACTTATAAATAATTCAAAATGGGCTATGAGAAACTATTAAGATACATTAATTTTGAAAATGTAAATCTAATAAGCAATGTTAACTCAGTGAAAAGCAATTACAGATGAATCCCCCAAACTCTAGAATGTACACTTTCACTTGACTTGTACTATTTCAGTTTTAATTTAAAGAACACATATAAACAAAACAATGATCTAAACCTACACATAATGCTTATTATTAAGATCAAAGAAAATCAGTAATTCTCTTGTTAGCACTCATATTGATACAGGACATGGTAACATCTAGAGTTTTAAAACAAACTTTATTAAAAATGAATGAAGGATATTTAAAATTCAGACTCGTGGCTATTTTCTTATAATGTGACAAAGATATAGAATATAAAGAAAGACTGCAAATTGTGTTTATCTGAATTTGTTATTTATATATGGATAGGCAATAAGGTACAGATAGCAAAAGATAAAAATAAAATGAACCGCTTTTATAAAATATGAAATTCTACTGTGGTCATTGTGCCATAGGTGCCAGGGACAGAGGCGATAATTGAGTACAGCTGTGAAAGAAAATCAACCAGCAACAACAAAACACTAAGCAGAAGACTAGGAACCCATGCAATGGATCAAGCTGTATGAGAATGTCTCTGAGTTACCCAGTATGGAATCTTAACAGAGCTGGGCGTTGGGAGCTCATATATACTACAGAGCAGAGAGCCCTTTGACTTGGATGTGGCTTCTTCTATCTCTCAGCTACTGTCACAGAGCAGTGGATGGATTCTGCACATGTGCCCTGAGGACTGAGCTTGCCTTCTTCCAGCTGCTGAGAGGCTTGTTGGCTATAGCTAGCTGAGAGGATCTAACCCATCAAGAGTGGTCTAACCCATCAAGGGTCACCTCAACTATGGATTTCCCCCCAGAATAGTTAAGTTCTTTATTGGTCCTGAATACAAATCCCCTGCCACAGTGGCACTCCTGACTGTCTGAGGACAAACAGGGGTTTTCTCCTAAAGTTCCATAAGGGAAGGTATAGGTTAGACAACTGGAAGGCTGCTGAGACTTAGTGCATTTAGATGACAAACGCCTGTCAAGACTTGGGGCTTACCCTTGACCTCCAACATTTTTATTACCTAGTTATATTTCTTAATCAATTAATCATCTTTCTCTTTCTTGCTCCCTTTCTCTATCCCTTCTCTTCCTCCCTGAGAAGAATTAGAATTCAGAAGTGACATAATGGCATAAGGATGCACATTCAAATGTTCATTTTAATGATAAAAATAAAACCATAATTTCCCAATCAATAGTAAATCTGACTTGGCCCTGATTTGACATAAAAGTCTGGCTTAGCTAATTAATTTATATTGTGGATTTCTTTTCATAAATTGAATGTCTTTAGTCCTGCTGCTCCAAGGCATTGAGAAAACATATTTAAATGATGTGATGAGATAAAGCATATAACCAAAAATATTATACTTGTAAAATGTATTAAATTAGCAACATTTCAAATTTTCAAACACTTTTTGAGTGTGTTGTGTTAAATAAGGTGCATATACATAAGAATAACAGATTGAATTTCGGATCATTTAAATGGTCGTCTTAAAGGTTCTTTGGTATACATTGCACAAATTGAAAAATATTTAACTATACTGACTAAGCAAAAAATTTTGCAAATTAGGTGGTTTCCAATGTTTTACTTCCAACAAAATCAAAGGCCAGCATAAACAGTTTATTAACTAATACAGGATATTACAAAAGTATTTGATGTTAGCTTATCATGATTTTAGTAGATAAGTTTGAAAAACCCCAGGGAAGTGAGTGACAGTGTTGGCCTTACATTCCCAACCATTTACATAAGATCCATCCAAACTTAGAACTAGAAAATAACACAGAAAGATTGGTATAAAGCCCTGTCTGATTCAGTAAAGGGGTTGCATACATGCCTGAATTGGAACAATAATTGGGAATTAAAAACAATGGCATTCAGGAATAGAATTCCAATAAAATCTCATTTTTCAATATGAAGTAATTATCAGTCAAAATGTGCAATATCCATAATAACAGAGGGTGCCTCCCCTGTTTCTCCTAGGACCTTGGTTGGCAAACTGGCTTGAGAGCCACATGCAGCTCTTTGGCCCTTGAATGTGGCTCTTCCACAAAATACCATGGCCTGCGAGAGTCTATTTTGAAGAAGTGGCATTAGAAGAAGTTTAAAAAATTGGCTCTCAAAAGAAATTTCTATCGTTGTACTGTTGATCTTTGGCTCTGTGGACTAATGAGTTTGCTGACTACTGGCCTAGGAGGTTGGCTGACCAGCTGCCAGAGCATCACCTGTGCATTGTGTGAACCTCTCCTAGGTGTACACGTCAGGTCTGAGGGACAGGTACCTGGGGCTCCATGTTTACAAGAACAGCCATGTCAGTTTCGTGTGTCTGCCTAAATTTAATCTGAGACTTGCTTTCATCCTCACGAACCACCTAATGGCAAGGTCAGAGGGGCGGGGCCTACAGCTCTCCCTTGCAACTACTGGGGTTCACTGATGCTGTCAACAGAAAGAGACAGTTGTGAAGAGCCAAGTGGATTGGCCAGCACACAACAAACGAGCGGACCATGTTGTCTAATCAGGGACAACAAGACTGTCATTGATTGTCATTGACATGGACGTTTCCCTTAAAGAAGCTGAGAATATTGTGCATATGAGCAGTGTTTTTCTTAATCTAATGAGGGACACAAGAACAGGATCATATTTATAATCTACTCTAGAGCTTAGAATCTCCTTCCATAGAAAATGCAGTTTTGACGTGGTAGGTGTCTCTGTCTTTTTCTGCCTTTCTCTTGAGGGGGGAAGTTACATATTATGAATGGTTTCCCAAACTCCTCTGCAGTCAAGACTTCACACGTGAAAGCAGGACTGAGGGCTGGGAGCCACGCACCTGGAGCAGTTGGTGATCTCCATGCGGGGGCCCGTGCACTGCCAGCCACCACACTGGGGGGCCGGGCTGTCGCAAGCGCGGGTGCGACAGAGGCAGGTTCCCACGGCACTGCCATCCGTGTGCGTGCAGGGCATCCATGGGGACCACGCACCAAAGTGCCCATCTACAGTGAGGTTCCTCGTCTAGGAAGCAGATACAAGAAGGATGTCAGAAAGGGTTAAGGCTGCAAACATAAAGAGAAAATAAAATGACTCTCACAAGACAATCAGAACCCACTTAGAATATTTTATATTATAATAAAAATGGGTGAAGGGCTTGAATAATTCAGAGTAAAGCATCAGAAGTCATTGGTGAAGATAATGGTGGAGACAGTGGGGGAGGGGAAAGAAGGCAGAAAAGGAAAAGAAGGAAATGTAGAAGGAGAAGAAGAGAGAGAAGGAGCAGGAGGAGGGGAGGGAATTTGCAGGGTGCTAACAGCTTGACCATCATATGATGGCAGAATTATCCACTAATGTGAGAAGACCAAAGAACAAGAAGAACTGAGGTGAAAAACCACAGATGTACAATTCTGTTGCATTTTTATATAGATTAGTGCCCTCCCCTCCCCCGGCTGGGGCATAGCCTGTTCAAGGGCATGGCTTCTAGTGCCCACACAACCCTGGCATGGATGCCTCCTCTCCCCAGGAGGCACAAAGGATGGTGACAGTATTCACGCATAAAGTCCAGGTAGATTCTTATTAGGCAACATTGTAGCCCATCCAGGATACATATACATATTTTTCAAATCATGCTAAATATGATGGATTTAGATCTTGCTCAAGAACTTCAAACCCATTAAACTGGGAACAATGTTTTAATTACATTTACATATACAAATAGAACTTTAGTCAATAGTCAGTCAACTATTGCCCTCTGTCCTGCATAACAGAAATCTGTTAACATTTTTAATCGGGATTGTGAGATGGAAAATGGGTCTTAAGTTGCTAAGTGCCTGGAAAGGTTCTAGGGTTCCACTGGCAACTTGAATTCTCTGGAGAGCAGAGGTTCTAAGCAGCAAATGGCAGCCTATGCCTGAGTCGTGGCTGGAAAACTACCTCAGCTGTTTGTCCAACATTCGTGAAGACTTACAAGGTGGCCCAGAGGGTGTGGTTTCAATCTCAGCACATTCATCACCCCTCTAATCTTGAGCTCCACGGAACAGGACCTCTCATTATTCAACTGGATATTAGATGTGCTGGTCTCATTTAAAAATCCCTCAGCTTATAAAGCTTAATTTCTTTGGGCTAAACAAAAAAATGTACTTTGCTGATTATAATATGTATGTTTACATCTCTGAAATCAGTTGGCACCTTGCAATCCATAGAAGCATTTTTCCCCTTATAAAATAGAGGTATACTTCAAGACCAATGACATATCAGAAATGATGAAATATGGTAGATTTGGTGAGTAAAATTAAGCTTTTTTTCTATTTCAGTCAAAACTAAAAAATAACATAGAAGCAAATTACATTTTTAATAGACTTTCAAAATACTGCTCTAAGACTGCTCTAAATAAATGTTAATAATTTTCATCTAGTTCATTTCTAAGAAACAGATTGTTGGAAAAGAATACATAATTAAAATAGCAGTTGTGTTATTCAAAGCTTCTCATTTTCTACATGGTAGCCTTCATATATGAGAAAATATGTTGTTTTATTAACTGATTATTGTTCAATGACATAATTTATTCTCTGTTGTTAGATGCTTTCCATATTGTTAACTTATTAAAAGTGAATCTTGAATATAAAATATTATATAGGGGGAGATGATAGGGATGATATTGTATAAGAAAATCACCTCAAACAAGAAAAAAAAAAGGACCTTGTTACGTGTTTTCTGGACAGTGAATGGGTGATTACAACTCAAGTATAATTTTACAGCAGAGAAGGTGGAGGGATAGCTCTAACACCAGGGTAGATCCACATCACCCTCCTCCTTTCCTGAGTTTATAACAAAAATGTTCCTCTCAAGTAGCACTGACAACTTTAGTAGCAACCCTCTGGTCATTTCTTAAATATTGGGTTAACTCTATTTCTTTTTATGTTGTTATTTTCGATTGATTTCAGAGGAGGGGAGAGAGAGAGAGAGAGAGAGAGAGAGAGAGAGAGAGAGAGAGAGACAGAAACATAAATGATGAGAGAGAATCATTGATAGGCTGCCTCCTGCACTTCCCCTACTGGGGATATCAAGCTCACAACTCAGGCATCTGACCTTATTGGGAATGGAAATATGTTCTGGTTCATGAGTGGACATACAACTATTGAGCCACACCAGCTGGGCTCATCTCTGACTTCCTACTGTAGAAATATACCAGACACATATTTGTCATAAACCAAGTAGCAGCATGTGTATTTCCCATTACATAGGTAAGCATGCCTCAGATATTGCCTCAGATATTTAATAAAACAACTATGGATCCCAGACCTATGGCCTCATCATTTAAGAAGAACTGCTATTGCCCTTGCCAGTTCTGCTCAGTGATTAGAGCATTGGCCCTCAGACTGTAGGATATGTGTTTGCTTCTGGTCAAGGGCATATACCTCGGTTGCAGGCTCGATGCCTGGCCCCAATTTGAGAGGCAACCAATTGATTTGTCTCTCTCATGTCAGTATTCTCTTTCTGTCTCTCCCCCTCCCTTCTGACTCCCAAAAAAAAAAAAAAAAAAAAAAAAAAAAAGATAAAAGAAAAAGAAAAATCAAAGGAAAAATATCCTGTGGTCAGGATTAAAAACAACAAGACTTGCTATCTATCATTAAAATGTCAAGGTCAAATATCCAGAAGAAGGGGTGCTGTCTCTTCTAAAGTGCACAAAGTATATTAGAATGACATTTCAGAGAATCCATGCGGTTTTCTCTGGCCTGACTGGATGGCTCAGTTGGTTGGAGCACCGTCTCAAGCACCAGAAGGTCCCGGGTTTGACTCCTGGTCAGGGTACCTAACTAGGTTGCAAGTTTGATGTCTGATGGTGGTGCTTATGGGAAGCAATAGATCAATGTTTTTGCCTCACATTGATGTTTCTCTCTCTCTCCCTCCCTTTCTCTCTTTCTCAAATCAATAAAAACATAATCTCAGTGAGGATTTAAAAAAAAAAAAAAGAAAGAAAAAGAATGTGAACACCATTGTGCTTCTTGAGAGTTGTTCAGAAATGAAAAGGGACTTATTTCAAGAAACACTGCAGACAAATTTGCTTCTCAAATCAGAGAAGCAAACCTCCTTGCAAAGATTTGCTTGTAGCCCGGATGAGGTTATGCATTCATCTGGTGCCATCACTTGGGAAAGAACACTGGTTTTCATAGCCCTGGCCTTCAACACCTCACTCTGTTTTGCCACTTACAAATGGAAGGACAGTCTTAATGCACATGGGTTTAGATAAGAGAATTAGCAAGCTCCTTGACAGAATGCAGACCCAAAGTTCACATGCCTCAGGCAGTTCTGTATTGAAGCAACAGCACAGATTTCAAATAATGGATGTGGTGCTTTCCTTCTAAGCCCTGTCTCACAGAGGGAATGCCAGCCAGAGCCGACAGTCACAGAGAACAGTGGTTACATGACAGCAAAGTAACCTAATAAATTTGCAAATGTGTGGAAGCTAATAGCTGTTAATCATATTCCCTGAGAGAGAGAAAAAATATAAATAAAAAAAACAAAACAACTGGTTCTTATAATAGAAGTGAGGACCCAAATAAGTATATTGGCAACAGAAAATGTGGAAACGGTTTTCTTGGATTCAGAGTCTGACTCCAAATGCAGACTGCTCTTCATTCTGCAGAATTCACTGTGGGAATGTACATTAGGCTGTCTCTCCCAGACCTTGCTGTGACCCTGAGCAGAATCTACAAGACTGTCCCACATGGGGCTCCATGGTAATAGTCTTTAGTTCATTCTTTTAAAAGCTCTACTTATCTTGGCTTCTGGAACTATCGCTCCCCAGGGAAATTGATGGGTGTGGAAGGTACTATTTTATTAATGCTACAAAGGGTACAATGGTTCACACCAAACTCCGTAGATAAAAATCCAAGACTAAAACAGATATATTACACCCATTTTTCAAACCAGCACTGTTTCCTCTACAGACAAAAAGCTTATGTAGGTACCCACGTGGTGCTCGTGCAAGGGAAGAGCTGAGTAAGTTAAGAGAGCACAGACAGGGGGTGCAGGAAAGGTTCTAAGATAAAAATGCATGGACGTTCTTAAAGGGCTGGTTAGTGACTGAGGACAGCGAGGTGACTGAGGACAGGGTGCTCAGAGGCCCGAGAGTGCAGACACTTACAGGACAGGTGGAGAGGGGCTGCTCCCACTGAGTCATGCTCAGGCTCTCCTCCAGGCTGGTGCACTTCTTCATCACCACATCCCAGCCACAGTAAGGGTCCTGGGCCCCGATGCAGGCACTGCAAACACACACCCAAGGATCAACAGAGAGGCAGCTTAACTAAACAAAGATGCAGACTAAGGCAAGCCAAACTCTTCTAACTTGACATGGGAACTAGTTATGCAAAACTAAGTTTCAGTGTGCACAGGAGAGAACATAGCTATCTGTACACACTTGCAAGTATCCAACTAAAATTAAATAACGGATTTTCATTGAAACACCTATTTTTTTTTCTAAGATAGAGGGCAGACAACTACATGACTATCTGCACCAACGTGAATCTTTTGGTATTATCAACAGAGCTAAAGTTGGAATTTTGCAATGCTCAAAAACACTCGTTGTTGTTATCACCACCACCACCATTACCACCACCACCAGCATCCCCTTAATAATAGGTATTCTTTGTTGAAAACCTACTGTGATATGTCAAATTATCCCATTTAGACACGAACTACTTTTACAGGGAAGTATTATTGTTATCATTTTTATGATCACCATAATCATCATCACCACCACTATCTTTATCATCATCACTATCATCAACACCTTAGTAAAAGGTATTATTTGTTGAACAGCAATTGTGGTATAGAAGGTTCTTATATTATTTAAGACACCTAAAGAACTCCAACAAGGGAAGTATTGATGAAACAACGAAGAAAACAGACACAAAATTTATAAAATTGGCCCAAGGACAAGCAAATACACCCCAAACCTTGCAATGTGGTTAGTTCAAATTTAATGAGTATGTCTTCCTGTTCAGTATTATGGCTTAAAATGTATACAAAATATCAGTTTAATAATAGTTCAATATAGCTGTCTACAATATTCTACATATTATTCAGAAGTATTGTAGACAGTGCATATTTTATTTTAGCTGTGCTCCAATGACGGAGTTCATGCACCACCTGGGCATTATGGGATGGAGATTTGGGCCCCTATGTTAGAAATACAATAGAAGGTGAATGTGGAGATGGAGGAAGCCAACAGAGATAACAGTGATAGAGCCAAACTTTTGGGAAGATCACCCCACAGGCAAGCAGGGCATTGAACACCTGGGCATTTTCTTTCTGAAGGGACCAAGAGGTCAGATATAGAAAAAATGGGTGTGAGGAAAGCAAGGTGAATACAGCACGGAAGTCTAATTTCTTTATAGAGTTAAGGGAGAATGTTATATAGGTAGTACAAATAATAATGTGGTTAATATTAATGCTATAAAATAACTCTAATACAGCAAATATATTAACTACATTTAAAGCAGTTATAAGAACCTTACTTCTATAGCTCATTTAATACTCATAGAACTTATAAATATAATATCTCAATTAATTACTACACTTATTCCCACTTTAAAAAGAAGTTGAAGCAGAGAAAGACAAAATCCCATGGCTGGGTAAAGATATGTTGAAGGGCAATAAATCAATCAACAGAGTTATGAAATTATTAACTTACTATACAATTATTATTTATTAACCACCTAAAAAGTTCAAACAGAAATGGTTAAAATTGGTGCTTGTCAGAGTTGGACAAAGCTGAGGTGGGAAAGTGATAATGATCTGACATCATAACCTAAATAGAACTTTCTGATAAGTGGCAGTTTTGCTGTTTGCTAATCTGAGTAAGAGGAAATGGGTATATTCATTAAAATCTTTTCACTGTATTTCTGAAAAACTAGATCTAATTAATGAATATGATCCCTTCACATATTAGATTAAGTATGGATAACTTTCTCTGGATTACTTTTGTCATACTGCCATTGTAATGGTTTATTTTTGGTGTTAAGAATCTTTGCCACATTAACAAAATGCGTTTATTAAGCACGGGATGTTAAAAGTGTTTCAGTGATTCATTCATTCAGCCCATACTTCAGAGCACTTGTTAGGAAAGAACTAGACTTTGAAGGCAAAAACAGGCATAGTCACTGTACCTACAGAACTTACTTTTTAATAAAGGGGAACAAACATTAAACAATTATGCAATTTAGCACAGCTAGTTGCAAAAAAGAAACAACAACAAAAACACACACAGGAAAATGAAGTCAAATGCTCTTGTACATGTGCCCTGCTCCTTAGGAAGCTGAGCAAAACTGCTGGCTGCCTAATGCAGAGCTAAGGAGAGCTAAGAGCTTACTCTACTGGAAGGACTATGGGATATTTTTAGTACACCTTCTTCTTAGAAACATATGCTCCATTGTAATAACAATCTATAATAACATATGATTCAGTAATATAAATAATATAAAAATGCATTAACATTTTGGCCAAAGAGGAAAAGAAAAATAATTAAAGCAACCCAATCATGATTGTAGGGAAAGAGAGGGCATAGCAGAGGCAGGGGCATGCCATGGCATCTCTATAAGATGGCACTTATATTTTATTTGCTTTTATTGTCCACCTGGATCAAAACATGTGTTTATATCATTGCCACAGGTGGATTTACAATGAAGCCAAAGCAGCTTTATTTCCTGAAGTTTTTATTTCTTCAGTTCTTTAAGGCACTGCAATTAAACCCAGTCATTTTGCACTTATAATTTGATATTCTTTTCTTTAGCGAGAACTGTCCCCAAGCTTCAGGCCCCATAACACCTACCTTTCTCCCTATTTCAGAGCATTAGCATGACTTCTGTTTCTGAATCCACAAGTCAAGTGTACTTTCTGCACATTTTATCCATTCCTTTTCCACCCTCCTCCGGATGCGGGGATTTACTGTGACTTGGCTGGAAGACACTGGGTTCCAGCCCCAGCCCACCATAGACCCCTTTACAAGGCGCTCTTCACAATCATATGAGCATGGTGATGAATGTACTTTGCCTTTCCCCCTTCTACTTTTTAAACAGTTGTAATGTTGACATACACATAATGTGTTCCTTTTTCCAATTACTATCATGTCACAGATGTCTTCATAGTCATCGTTTAATGGCTTCAGAATAAGCCACTGAGCAAATAATTGACTGAATACGTATATCATATTCATTCCTTCACTATTGGAAATTTGGGACTGGAACACTGGGAGTGATTCCAAGTCAACTGTAAAAGTAATTGGACAGGGATGTCAGGCTCAGAGACTAGGTCCTCATGCAGTCCATCGGAGATCAGCTGTAATGATAAATTGAGCTGGGGATAAACTCTAACGTAACTCGAAGGCCCGTTGGCTCAAAGCAACAATAGATATTCTGGAGATTTTATTTATGCCAGAATTTCTCATTAGATTCTGAGCCCCATGACAAGGTCAGGGCTGCCTCATTTGTCATTATCCACTCAGTGCCTGTCTTGGTGCTTGGCACATATTAAGTTCAATAAATATACTAGCAATGAGTTAACTAAGGAAAATGGTCAGTCTTTAGAGGCCACAACAACGCCAACACAAACAAAAACTCAAGACATGGAGATTTGAATATTAAATTATTAACTTTATATGAAAGGGAGAATAACTTGAAAAATGAGTACATGTCAAAATGTCTTTCTGAATGCTTAGGTGACTCATACCTGAATGGCCAAGGCTGTTTCGCTGGGGACTCTGTGGGATCCTACAGTTTCTTTTTGTAAGCCTATATTCGCTCAGAAGGTGGATGCAGTCTTTAGAGAATATGTAATTAATAACAGTGCCAACCAAGTAACTCCACCTTTAAAAAGTTCTCCTTTCAAGCAATAAATGTCTTAATTTCCATACTAATTTTCTTAATAACAAGATGTTAATTTCTTTAACTAAATGATAACTAGTACAGGTTGACTGAATTAAGGAAGATTAGAAACCCATTCTCCAATAGAGCCATGCTTGTTATTTTAATGGTTTCGTACACACACACACACACACACACACACACACACACACACCAGTTTTATAAAGCAAAATTTAAAAGGCTTGTGTCCTCTGTTTTATTTATAGGCTATGATTCTTCCAGTTTTCAGCTTTGCTCCTCTTCCCAGTTAGTTTTTATATAAGGCACAAACAAAACAAACCCCTAAGGCCCAAGGGTTTCCAATCTTTTGGCTAATGTTTTATATCACTACTCTTTTCTGTAAAGGGGTTTTACTGTTCCACAAGAACTGAGGTTTTCTCGTTAGGTTATAAAGTAAATAGCAGGTCAGGGTGCCTGCCCAGGCTGCAGGCTCAATCCCTAATGGGGGGCATGCAGGAGACAGCTGATCAGTGATTCTCTCTCATCATTAATTTCTCTCTCTCTCTCTCTCTCTCTCTCTCTCTCTTCCTTCCTCTCTGAAATCAATTATATAAATATATATATATATATATATATATATATATATATTTTTTTTTTTTTTTAAAGAAGTAAATAGCAGAGAGGAAGAGGCAGAGAACCAAAGACGAAGGCTAGGCCACAGGTGCAGCAACTGTCAGCTCTGAACCTGGGCTTCATGTCACTAGAGCCATGTGACCTTGAGCAGGACACCAAAAATCGAAGCCACTATTTCTTCATCTGAAAAATGTAGATAATATATGACTCAGGGTATATGATTGACATGATAAAATGATCAAGTGGTGATAAAATCCAGCACGATGCCAAACATATAAAAGTTGTGGAATTGTATGAATTGTTATCATTTATACACATTCAACGAACTTTGCATTGCCTTTGAAGAAAAGGTATTCTAAGAAATGAAAAATGGAAATATGATTACTTAAGCTCAAGTTTTCTTCCTAAACACTTCAAAATTCATTAATAAAATGGAGTTTCTAGTAGCAGCTAAAATGACTTACTAGTACGATAAATTCTGCTACAGAAAATTTATTTAAAGAAGAGATCAGTAACCTCCTGTTACTCAACTGTTATTCTGTTCCTATTTTGTATAATTCCCTAGGCATATTTCTGAAAAATCCACAATGCCTTTGTCAAGAAAAAAATTCCCCCACATAATTCATATAAAGAAAATCTGGTCACATAGATATTAGTTTCTTAAAAATTGATTCTTTTCCCCAGTTATTTTCACTCGGGAGATTTTTCTGTCTTTCTATAGGAGGATAGCAGAGAAACATTAAAAAGGATCCAAAGAGACTCTTCAGTTAAAAATGAAGATTTTCTTTTCTCTAGTGGAACTGCTAGGGTCAGACACAAACTACCCCCCACTGAGAGTGGGCACACAGAGACTCCAGCCCATCGATCTACAGGGAAGTCACAGTCTCTCTCTGCTTTCCTCTGAGCGAGGACGAGTAACCCGCAGGGCGACAGCTCTGGATAGAACAGCAAATCTTCCCTCTGCAGGAGCCTGATGATGACAGACAAGTGGCCTTAATTTTCTTGACAGAAAGAGGAGCTGTGAACTGCTCCCTGGCCACAGTGCCTAGTGGCAGCTGCTCCTGTGGATTCCTGACCAGACTTGAAGGGCAGTCGTGTGAGAGGTGCTAGAGGGCACAATGAGGCCTGGCTTTCGGGATTTGATGCAGGACTTGGCTTCCTAACCTACAAGGAGCTGATCACCGGGAACCCAAGTCCAATGAAGGCAAGCACCATGAGAGGACGAAGAGCCTCATGCTTTGCAAGCCACGAACTCCCACTCTGGGGCCAGAAACACCTTACATACAGCACAGCCTATGTCTTTGTGCACAGTAATCTGGGTCACTCCCCCAAGGAAGTCCATGTTGGACCTCAGAGCTCATGGGGATGGAGCTGCAAGACTGGCACCCTTCCGATGCATTCTGATGTGTGACATGTCTGTTAGCAAGACCCCACCTCTCCCTGTCTGTCCCCCACTGAGTCACTGAGTCATCAGCAACTAGCAGAATAATCCCCGGCTTAAATTAGTCTGGCAGGGAACACAAATCCAAACAAGTTTTAAGCGATCATTGGTTAATGTTAGGGAAAAGGTGCTCTATAAAAGATAGTTGGTAATAAATATCACCATCCGGTATTAATGATCGCAATAGCATTGTTATTTCCAAGGAAGGTACGGTAGTCCAGACTTCATTTTCTAGAATCATCCAGAAGGAGATATTACAGTACATAAAACCTTCCTTCTACACCTTGTAGAGTGCTTTACATTTTCTACTCTGCACATTATTCCATTTTATTCTACAGTAATTTGTATGCTAGATAAGAAAGTGGGGTGTAAAATACTGTAGTGACCAGATCGAGAAACAGCATGTGCAGGTCTATAATGTCACTCACAGCCTCTGAACCCAAAGCTAGTGCCACTGGGTGCCTGGTTTGAGGAGCAATGACCTGTGCATGGTGCTTGTGAGTGATAGATCTAAACATCCACATCTATACCAAGGCTGCACTGATGCCCTGTTTTGGGGACTGGGATTGAAAAGAGCCCTGGTCCCTATGGACATTGAAGATTATGATTTCCCCGCAGCCAATCTTGCATCAGGGGCCAGAGCATTTATGCAGCATTCCAACATCCCAGGGCTGGTCTAAGGTATGGGGCACACAGGAGCTTGCAGCTTCCCAAGCACACGGGCCTGCGTTTCCACAAACTGAGTTTCAAACGGCACTGAGTCAATAGTGGGTACCACGTGGTGGGTGAGCAGACTGGCCGAGGCGGTGAGGAAGGTGTGTTGGTACATGGGTTCCCCGAGCCTGTAGAAATTCCCTTCTCTTTCCCTTCTCCCAGCAGGCTGGGTAAATCTGGAACCTCAGAACAGCATCTCAACACAGCTAGTGCCCAGGACAGAACCGTGAGGGTGCCCAGAAACGGGGTGCCATTGCCACTTTGGGGGAATTAACTTTGGGTTAAGAGGACACATACTTCATATTGCTCTGATACATATATTCTAACATCTATAGAGAGAATGTGTACACGCACACACATACACACAGGCACACATGCATTACACAAATAAAATTAAACTTGTGCCAAATTAATGCATGAACGCCAATGACCAGCAGCATTTTCAGTGAGTGCTCTAAGGCGCTGAATAATTTGTTGCAGCGCTGACCGTTGCTTGCCAAGGTAATAATATGGCTCCTCTCTGCAGACACTGGTGGGTTACATGCATCACAGTAAATCCCTTTTCTCCAAAACCCTCTTGCATCCTGGGAGTCAGGACACAGGGACTTTTAGGCCCAGCTGCCACCCAGCCCCAGGGCATGTGAAGGCCCCTGGCTCCTGGGCCCTCTCCCTGGGGGCATGGCCATGGGGCATGGCGTGCAGGATGCACCTGGGGCTGCCCTACCTGCGCGTGCGGTGGAACGGGCACCTCTTCAGCGGGATCCGGGCCACGTGCTCCCGCAGGCCCACGAACAGGACGCTCTGGCTGTGCAGGATCTGCAGGCTCCGGACGGGCTCCTGCCTCCTCTCCGGGAAGAGCTCAATCTCTTCCAGCACGCAGCTCCCCGAGCTCGCCGTCAGCGGCGCCCGCACCTTCTTAATGGTGCCGTAATCTGCAAAGGCCACAGGGAAGGGAGGACAGGAGGTCAGTGGGCTCCCAGCCTGGCTGCTCAGAGGATCGTCTGAGGAGCTTTGAAAATGCCATTGCTGGGGCCCCAGCCCAGACCAAGTCAATCAGCCGCACTGGGTGTGGCCCGGGCGCTAGGCCTCTTGACAGCTCTAGGCAGACCTGCCATGCAGCCAGGGAAAAGGACACGCAGCTACCATCTGCCTCGTCCTGCAGCAGGTCTGGAGACCAGCGCTTACTGCAGCTCAAAGGAGCCACCTACCCCCTGTGGACCATCAGGCTATAGAAATTCTAAGAGACAATCTAGGATTTCCAGTGTCAGAGGTCCTGGCTTTGCCACCGCAGGAAGGCAGATGCCAGGCCATGGGCAACTGCAAATCTGCAGGACAGTGAAGGCTGCTCCTTTTCCACCCTGCCCTGCTCTGTCCCCCTCCTCCCAGTTTACATCAACCCCTTCCTCTCTAGCTCCAATATTCTTCTTGTGGATGCTTTTCTTGGTCTCAACTCCCCCAAGTCTTCTAACCTGTAGGATAAACATCCATTGCCGACAGGGACCCTGCAGTTCTAGCTGCAGTTTGTCTGCTCACCACATGTGTCTGCTCCTTATTTATGATCACTGCCCAAGGATGAGTGTCCCTGACCACGCAGACTCCCCTGATTAGCTGTGAGGGGCACAGAAGAAGAGCCTTTCAGCCAGTGAGGGACAGAAGAAGGGCCTTTCAGCCATGTGTCAGGGACACAGACTTAAAACACATGCTATTGTCCCTGGGGCTAGGCCCCTGCTATCAGCCTGCAAACCCAGAGCATGAACCCAACCCTTTAGAAGCACCTCCCTGACATGCCATCCATTCCTCAAGTCATCCTGAAGGCACTGACTGAGTAAAACCCAGCAGGGCCCAAGGTTTCCAGCATTCTTATTCTGCTCGCAGAAAGTGAGGCTAAGAAGCGACCGAAAACCAGAAGTAAATCATAACCCTTTGGCTCCAAGGCCTCCTGTCAATCATCCATCTTGGAAGGCTCTGGACAGGAAATGCTTTCAGTTTTTTGTTTTCATGACAGTCCTCAGAGATGTTTACTTTTACAGAGAAAAGATGTTTACATTTAAAGGAAAAATACTTATGCAGACATATGTTGTCCTGAATTTATTCAAAAATGGCTATCTGAACCGTCTCCTTCGAACATGTATTATGAACTGACTACAAAATAATGCATGCGCCATTAGTAAACTATTACTTAATTCTATTTTAAGCTAGCTGGTTAATGTGTTTGAGAAAGGTCAAGCATCAAAAGCATAATTCTGCTCTCTGCTGGGATGATGAAAAACTGTCTTTTTTGGGGGGGTTGTCTGTGTTTGTGAGCAGGAGAGAAGAGAGGGGGGCGGGGAATGGAGGGAGGGGGCAGTCTGTGGAATAGGCAGGCAGACATTTTAATACATACAGAGCACATAGATTTCAGGGTTGAAGAACATGTGTATGACTTTACTGGGCAAGTCAACTTAATTTTGTCTTGGAAATCACAGCCAATGAAGGGGAATTCGCCTTCGTTGACTCAGGGTCTTCCTGGTGGCAGAGCACAAAACACGAATAAACACAGGGCAGTGAGGCAATGACTGGGACAAAGTGAGTGTTTCAAGGAGGTGAGTGAGCAGCAATGTTTCGGCCTCAGCACCCCAAGAGGAGGTCCTCACAGCAGAGGGAGGTGACAGCCTCCTGTGGAGCAGCGACAGGGACATCAGAAAACACTGATTGGGTGGCAGCGATAGCAAGGCTCCTATGAGAGCTTAAATAAGAGACTCTTGGGGCAACATAGCATTTTACAGAAATGGAGGAGTGGGGTGGGGAGGGGACAAAAGAAAGGGGAGTCCAGCAGGTGAATCCTCATCTCCTGTCTGTTACTACACTATTTTCACAGGAAACACAGCTTAGAGAACTAAATCCTATGCACCAGCTTAGCAAAGATCCCTTACTGTTTCACATGTATTTTTGGTAGATTATTACTCTGAGAAACCTGCCTACATGATTGTTCAAATGTCAGTACACTGACATGCATTTCAAACTCCTAAGCAATTGTACGTAAAATTTTTTTAAAATATCTTTAATAAAATGACTTCAAAGAAATAACCATCGCAGATCAAAACTTTCCAGCATATTTCTGCACACCGGGATCTGTTTTTTTTGGCTGACCTGGATGTGACAACACCGCGGGGCTTAGAAGCACCTCAGAGAGTGGTGCTCAGTGTGGAACTAAGAGGTGGCCGCCCTCCTCTGCCTCTGCTGGGTCTCCTCCTTCTCCTCCTGAAGCATCTGCTCCCATGAGGAGCCTCCTGAAGCCTCTCCCTTCCGTGGCCCCAGGGTCAGCACATGTGGAAATGCCTTTCCCACAGCATCTATGAAGCTCTTTTGGCTCCTTGAAGCCTTTCCTTCTCCCTTCTGCACTTTGCTCTCACTCCATGACCAGAACACTGTCACTTTAGCGTAGAACACCTTTCTCACCTGGCTGTCTCCAGAATACTCACTCTGCTCCCCTCACCAAGTCTGGAGTGACCATCAGGGCACACACGACTATGTGGTCTCCTGCCTCAGACCTTCAGCATGAGGCTCAAGCACCATCTGAGTCATCCATGGACCTTGCTGGGCCTGTGTGTTTCTTCACCTTCTGCTTCCCTCCCCCTCACCTCTGTGCTGGTCACCAGGGGGCACCTGCAGCACAGAGAGCCTGCAATTGCCCTGGTCCCTGCACAGGCAGGTCCTTCCCTGAAGTGGCCTCCCTGCTCTGAAGCCTGCTGTCCTGGTGTCATAGTTCAGATGGCTGACAGTCTTTTCTGGCTCCTCTGCACACTCCCAGGCACAAGTTTCTCCTGTGGTGTCCGTAATATCCAAGTCAGGGCATTTTTCCACCACTAACTCCCCTTTCTACAAGGGACATCTCCCAAGGGCGGGGATGGGATCTTGTTCTTTCCATCTCAGGGGCCTGGTCTGGTGTCTGGCACATAATAGGTGCTCAACTTCCTTAAAGAATGATTAATCGTGCCAAAACCGGTTTGGGTCAATGAATAGAGCATCGGCCTGCGGACTGAAGGGTCCTGGGTTCGATTCCGGTCAAGGGCATGTACCTTGGTTGCAGGCACATCCCCAGTAGGGTATGTGCAAGAGGCAGCTGATGGATGTTCCTCTCTCATCGATGTTTCTAACTCTCTATCCCTCTCTCTTCCTTTCTGTAAAAAATCAATTAAAAATATATTAAAAAGAATGATTAATCATGAGTAAATAGAAATTATTTAAAATTGAGATATAATAGACATATAACATTTTGTACAGTGTGTTTAGGTGTGCAATGTGTAGATTTGATACACTTAGATATTGCAATGATTGCCATCCTTGTGTTAGTATTAATACCTCCATCTTGTCACACAATGTTAGTACATACAAATGGATAATTTAAAACACAAAATTACCAAGAAATTTCAAAGAATTCCAAGGAATACTATTCTCCTTTCCCCTCCCCTCCCCTCCTTTCCCCTGTCCTCTCTTGTTCTCCCCTCTTCTGTCCTCCCCTCTCCTCCCCTCCTCTGTCCCCCCCCCCCCCATGGAGCTTAAGGTCAAGTGTAGAAGTCACAATGCCAGTGAATTAGCAATTAAACTGTGATAAATGTTATAAAGCAAAACAACAACAAATGAAGTGCTCTGAAGGTCAGTCCCATTGTTGTGCAAATCATTGGTCTCTTTCATGATCTGACCCTGCCCTTCAGCTGAGAAAGAAAGGATGACTTTGCCACATCCTTGTCAGAGCAAGTGTGCTTCAGCCTTGTCTCAACCTGTGGGTCTCAACCACTAGCAGGGATGCCTAAGACCATCGGAAAACACATATATTTACATTATGATTTATTAACAGAAGCAAAATTACAGTTATGAAGTAGCAACGAAAATAATTTTATGATTGTGGTCACCACAACATGAGGAACTGTATTAAAGGGTCACGGTAGTAGAAAGGTTGAGAACCACTGCTCTAGTCTGTGAGAATAAATTTGTTGTTCAATCCGCTCTGTATGTGGTACTTTTGTTATCTTTGTTCTGGCAGCCCCAGTGAACTAGCACAGAGACTCCAAGTCAAGAGTAAGAAATATAAAAACAGATTTTGTCATCCAGATACTTGCTCAAAGCAATTTCAAAAATAGACTGTAAATTATTTTCCCTCTTTCTCTAACATACCATGACTCAATTCTAATGCAACAGCACTATAAATAATGTCAGACTCAATAGTTTTACTGATTATGATCTAAAATTTACATTACTGATGAGTATTTTCAAATATTAACATTTCTTTTATTTGATGCCTATCAATTATACATATAGTTATAGGGTAGAAAAGAACAGGAGATGATGCGGGACATGTAACATTGTGAAGAACTGATGCATTTTGATAAACATTATCCAGTAACTCATATAGCTGATGCTATTGCTCACGACCTTTTGGCTAATGACTCTCGTGATCTTTAGGGGAAATTAAAGAGAACTAATGAACACTCGAGAATGAACTTTCAAGTAGCTGAGGAAAAGGTTGGTGATTATAATGTATTTTTTTTTTCAGTCTCACCAAAATTCAAGATTTTATGGGAAAAAAAAACACACAAAAAACCCTTTTGTAGGAAAGAAGGAGGGCAGGAAGGAAGGAGCAAGGGAAAGATAAAGAAAAAAAAAAAGAAATGTGGTCAACTCAATAAAATGTTTGCAATTGTGAATTAAATGTTTATTTTTCATACTTCAATGGAAGACAGCCTTCCTTCATTCACTAAAGTTTAAAAAAAAATAAAACAATAAAGTGGAAGTCACTATACCCTATGTGTATAGTGACCCTGTACAATGAAAATGATGCCAATAATTTAACTTAAGAACAGCAGCCTGCAACAGTTCCAAAACTCATAATAAATATATATTTTTTTTCTCTAAGGTACAATAAAAATCTTAGAAGGTGGAGTGGCAACATACT